CCCCCACCCCCACCCCCACCATTTTCAGCTTCAGCCTGAAGCAGAGAGTGGGCAGGGCAGGGTCTGCTAGGGTGCAGGTTAAGGTTCATTAGGGATCGGGAGCTATTTGAGGTTAGGTTTATTTTTGGGATGGGGCAAGTCAGATATGGGAGTGAATTTAAGGTCAGATGAATGCTCAGGCAGACCCAACTGTGCTCAGCCCAGCTCAGCCTAGGAGAGTAGAGGAGTAGGAGGCCTGCCTAGTGTTGATGATCCAGGCTGGGGACCCAGTACACTGATAAAGGTTCAATGGCAGTAACCTCTCTTCCCCACCCCCATGCTCAGGACAGCCCCTCTGCCAGAGGCTTCGCCTTCTGGGCATCCTGGGAGCCCAGGACTCCTCACCGAGCTCTGTGGCCAGCACTGTGAGGTTGTGCCAGACATGAGCCTCACGGTCCAGGGGCACTGCCGTGCGGATGGTGCCGTCCTCAGGCTCGATAGAGAAGCAGCGTTCCAGGTCCGAGTGGGGGAGGATGGAGTATCTGGGGAAGACAGAGCCTAGCTGGGGCAGTCTGGGGGCAGGCTTTCCTCCCACTTTCCCTCCCTCCCTTCTGTTCCCCTTGCTGGGCCTCATGGCTCATCTGGGCAGAGGGCCTGAGCTCCTGGGGCAGAACCTCTCCCACACAACTAGAGCTATAACTCATATAGGGTCCTCTTAAAAGACCAATATCCCTGGGAAGTCATCAACATTAAACACCTGTCCTGAGAACTGGGGGACTGGGTTTCCTGGCAGTTAGGGGGAGAAACAGAAAGAGGTGGAAGGAGGGAGACACTGCCTGTCTTTCAGACTCTGGGCTCTGTTTGGGGGAACACTGGGACCTGTATTCTAGCCTGGCTCTGCTTCAGACCAGCTGTGTGACCTTGGGCAAATCGTTTCACTTGTTTCCTCAACTATAATACAAAATAGGAATGATACCAGCTCCTCCCTCAATGCTGTGACAGGGGTACTGGCTGGGAGGTGGAAAGAGTGGCTCTTGAGGCAGTTAGTCCAGGTTTGAATCCCAACTCTGCCACTTACTGATTGGGCGACCGTAGGCAAGATACTTAACCTCTCAGGGCCTAGCCTCCAAAACAACCGGTGATGAAAACGCCTATTTCATAAGAGCAGTTGTGAGAATTAAATGTCACCAAGTGGGTAAAGTATGAAGCACTGACGGTGTGACCAATAGTGACAGTGATCAAGGACCAATGGCACTCAGCAGATGAGATTACGCCTGCTTGCACTGCCAGCAGGAGGTGCCACTACTGTCCACCCAGAGGGATGGGTGGAGAGTTGGGGAGGTCTTAGCCAGGTCCTCCAGCCTTCTCCTGGCCCCAGACCTTCAGGGAGGGAGACCTCTGCCAGGAGGCGAGTGTGATTTGCCGTAAAGGAGGCTCATCCTCTGTGGGGTTAGCCTGCCACTGGGCACCTTTCTCCAGGCCTGGCCCTGGCTCTGGCCTGCTCACCTTCCCCTCACTCCCCCACCCCACCCTGCCCCTGCCCCTCACCTGATCGGGCTGGCTGGGGAGTCCAAGTCAGTGGCTGAGACCTGGCCCACCAGGGTCCCAGGAGCCTTGTTCTCAGGCACTGCCAGGTGGTAGGCAGCCTGGGTGAAGGCGGGTGGCTCTGGGGCGTCCTGCACAGCCACACGCACTGAGGCCACGTCCTTGAAAGGTCCTCGCCGCAGGTAGGCTGGGTCGATGAGTGTGTTGGTGGCCTCCACACGGAAGGAATAGGAGCGACGGGTCTCAAAGTCTAGGGGCTATGGTGAGGGGAGGTGGAGTGACTGAGATATGTGGACACCAGGGCAGGCCCAGGCTCCCGGAAGGTGAGGCCTCCCTCACACGCATCCAGTGCTTAGCCCTCCTCAGAGGAGAGGTGGCACCAGAGGGGCAGTGGCCTTGGTGGTCAAGGGTGAGGGCAGATGATTTAGTGGGTAACTCTATGTGTGTCCCCAGCTCCATCACAGACTCACTATATGAAGAGTCTTGAGCCAGTCACTCCTCCCCATCTGGGCCCCAAACCCCCTCATCTGAAAGCTGAGGCGATGACCATGATCTTTAAGTTCCAACATATGGTCCTGTTCTAGACCAGTTAGAAGTATATCCTGGGGGGGTTGGGGTTGGGGTGGTGAGGATAGGGAGGAGTGGGCAGGAGCCTTAGCAGACAGGAAGCTAACCTTTCGGACAGTGAGGAGCCCATCTCGACCCTGGGTGTCTGTGCTGATGCTGAAGGCCTCGGACCCCTCCCCGTCCAGGATGCTGTACGCCATGAGGGCGTTGTCCCCTAGGTCTGGGTCCTGGGCTCGCAGCCGGCCCACCAGGGTACCAGGCCCAGCTGTCTCCACCACAGAGAACTGGTACAGGCCTTGGGGGTGGATGGAGGGGAGACATTCTTAGAGAGGCCCCCAGCGTTCCTCCCTCCCCCAGTGTTTCCTTCTCCCAGGGCCCTGGCTGGGGGAGGGGTGGGGAGGGAAGGTTTCTTCAGAGGGATGGGGTGGTCAAAGGATGGCTCAGGCTGCGGCACTGGCCCCTTACTCTGAGGGAACTTGGGGGGGTTGTCATTGACATCGCTGAGGGTGACCGTCACCGTAGTGCTGCCCGACAGCCCCCCCATGTGGCCGCCCATGTCCTTGGCCTGAATCACCACCAAGAACTCTTCCTGTGTCTCCCGGTCCATGTTGGGGATGGCGGTGCGCACGACTCCTTGGGAGAGACACTGGGTTACGGGGTGCCTGTTCCCACGGCTGCCCCACCAACTCCTGAGCTCTAGCCTCACCAGTCTGGGGGTCCACAGAGAAGAAAGGCAGTCCATCCAGCACAGTGTACACCAGCTTGGCGCTGTTCCCGTAGCTGGGGTCATCGGCATCATGAGCAGTTACCTGGATCACTGATGTTCCTGTGGGGGATCCCGGCACCCCACTCAGCAGGGCCAGGGCCAGGTGGGGAAGAACAGCAGATGAGGGGGACCCAGATATGAGCGGGGCTGAATCAAAGGAGGTGGGTTCTGGGGCAGAAAGCAATGGGGGAAGGAGAGGAGAGGGCACTCCAAGAGATGGGATGTGGGGTGTTCAGAGTTGGGGTACTCACCGACATTGGACATCTCGGGCACAGTGGCATGGTAGGGCCCGAGGGGAAAGATGGGGGGATTGTCATTGATGTCTTGCACCTTGATGATGAACTCTGATGGGGGCTCCAGGGGCCGGTTGGAGGCTCGGTCCACAGCTTGCGCTAGTAGCACGTACTGTGCCTTCTCCTCCCGATCCAGGCTCTTGGTGACATGGATATTGCCTGTGGCCTCGTCAATCACAAATACGGTGCCTGCCCCCTCCCCGGTCAGCAGGTACTTGGTGCGCCCCTCACCCCGGTCCACATCTGAGTGCAGCTGTAGGGGTCAGGGGGAAATGGCAGTGGGTTTCACACAGAGGGACAGAAGGTTAAAGAGTACACAGTCGAGGATTGGGTGGAGTGTTGGGAATCCTGAGGGACCAAGGTCATTGCAGAAGTGATGAAGTTGCAGGGCATAACCTAAGGGCCTGGAAAGTCAGGGTAGCCATGGGAGGGCTTCATCCTTACCTTGCCAATGAGGACAGGTTCTGGACCAGCATATTCCTCGATGACAAAGAACTGGTTCCATACCCAGCTCCTTCGGGTCCGCAGCAGTGCTGGTCCTGAGCCCCCCCGGGGGCCTGCCCAGGCCCGGGCTGGGGCAGCCAGGCGCCCCATGCAGCCCCAGCCACCCAGCCAGGCCAGCAGGAGCCTCATCAGGCCCCACATGTTTGGGCTCCAGCCAGGGCTCTGTTCACTGCCCCCAGGTGCTGAGGCATGAGCTGGCTGGGGCAGAAGGGCACAGTTGGGGCTATCCCATGGATCCACACCTGCAGGACAGGTAGCTGTTCAGGGTCAAGGAAACCCTTAACCCTCCCCCCACCCCACGCCCCCAGAGGTAAATGTTGAAGAGCAGACCTCTAAGGAACCAGACACCCACTGCCCAGAACCCAGACGAAGACAGAGAACAGACAGTCTGACCCTTCCCTCCACAGAGGCTCTGCCTGTATTCACCTCCAGCCCAGCAAACTGGTAAACCTCTGGCCAACTCTGAGTAGAGCAGCTGAGTACAAAACAGAAGAGGGGATGCTGAGAGGGCTGGGAACCCCATCTGGTCCCTATTCCCCCAGGTTGGGCAACAGGGGGCTGGAGGAGATGGGGGTTACCCCAGAAAGCCTTACAAACCCAGGGGTTGGGATTCATGGTGTGGTCTCAGGTTTCTAGGGTCCGGCTGAGATAGATAAGGAGGGCAGCCTAAAACAGCCTTGAGAGCCTGTGAAAGTCCCTCCTCCTCTGCAGGAACCCACCTCTCCAGAACCTGCCCCCAGCCCACACTGCTAGCTGAAGTCCTTGAAGGGCGACCGGGTTCATGAGGCAGAGTTGGGGGTGGGGGTGGGGGCGGCGGGGGCAAAGCTGAAAGAAGAGGGGGTAGAGTTGGGGGTAGACTGGGGAAGGGGAAGAGGCAGACTTATAGAGGCTAGAAACACAGCAGTGATGGAGGGTGAAACCAAGACTCAGGGGCTGTCCAGCAGAGACAGAGACAGAATGGCAGTGAGAGACACAAGGAGAGATCAAAGGAGGTAGCCTGGTGTCTGAAAGGCAGACAAGAGTCATAGGTACCAGGATGGGGAATGGGTGGGAGGCGGTAGAGGGGCTTCTGCGCGTGTGATAGGCAGACAGGGCAGCTCTCAGCTGTGGGGGTCAGACCAGGCCGCCGGAACTTCATCCTGGGAAACTGGGTGTCTAGGAGGGGCTGCGGGAAGGGAGCTAGAGAGGACCCTTACCATTACTGTCTCCTCCCTCCCCTCCTGAGGGGTGGGGGGGCCCCCGAAGGTAGCTGTAGCTGCACCCCTCCTCCCCCAGAGCAGACACACACCTGACAGTCCTTTTCTTCCCGAGGGAAGAGAGACGCCGGAGGGAAGCCGGGGACCAGAGAGGGAGGCGGGACGAGGTTCAGAAGGAAAAGGATAGAGGAGTGGGAAACAGGATAGCTGGAAGGGACGAGGTTCAGAAGGGAATAAGAGCGGGAAAAGGAAAAGAGAAAGACAGGAAAGGAGAGAAAGGTAGAGGAAGAAAAAGGCAAAGAGCAAGTGGAGATGAGGAAAGGCGGCAACAGGGAGAGAGAAGGGTGGGGGATACAGAGGGAAGAGGCAGAGACAGCAAACAGGCTGAGAGAAGGCAGGGTGAAAAGACACTAAGGGAGAGTAAAATGGGAAAAAGAAGGCAGGAGGTGCGAGGGAAGAGAAGAGAGGTAGAGCGCGGGAGAAGGGAGCCGGCAGTGGGCTCCCAGCCGCGGAGCGCACCGCTCTGAAGACACCCGCAGGCTGCGGGCCCCCTGCTGCCCCTCCGCGGATCCCCGACCCCCGGCTCCAGGGCAGGCCTTTACCTGGCAGCTTCGAGGGGCCCAGCCCAGCGGGGAGCGTCCCCGCTCGCCCCCGTCGCCGGGTCCCGGGGGCGCAGCCCCGTGCCGATCCGAGCGGGCGCCGCGGCTCCGCTGCAGGTCTGAGCGGCCCCGGCGAGAACAAGGGAGCGAGACGGAGGGGGCGGGGGAAGGAGGCTCCGCCTGCGGAGGAGCGAGGCGGCTCCGTGCCGCGCGGGAGAGGAGAGCCCAGCCTCCGACCCTCCCCGGCCAGCCCGGCCTGCGCGGCGGGGGCGGGGGCGGCGCTGCCAGGCCGCCGGGCGCATACAGATGCGCCGCTCCTCCCGGGACGCACCCGCAGCGCCCGGCCGGGCACTCAGGCGGGAGGACGTCCAGGCCACGGCGGCAGGCCAGGTCCCCAGAGCTAGCGGGGAGGGTGCACTCGGGAGCGCCAAACGGCCCGCAAGCCCCCCGCAGCGGGGCGAAGGGCGAGAGCACGGCGGAGCAGGGAATGAAGAGCTACTGCGGAGACGCCCGGCTCCCGCTCGCGGACCGGCCATGGGGGCTGGTATGGATCCGGACCGCAAGACGGCGGCAGTTGGGTAGCACGTACAGGGCACGATAACCGGCTGGCTGGGGTGCGTTTCAGGACGGCAGAAAGGTCCAGGGAATCCGCGGGCTGGGCCCAGGGACCAATGCACGACATCAGCGGGAGGGGACAGAAGGTGGGGAGTGGAGCCCTTTTGGGAAGCCCATTTACAGGCGCCTACCGAGCGAGCGGCTGTCGCCCCCTGGTGGCAGTTGTGGGTGGCACCTTGAAGGTGAAAAGCAGGTGACCAAGTGCCTCTAGCCGAGGACCCGAAACCCAGAACGGACCCACGGGGTCTTCGACCCTCTACCCTCCAGTGAGCTAGACCTACAGCTGTGGTGTAGTTTGAGCCAAGGCTGGTAAGGGGGTGCGGGGGAAGTCCGGCTCCAGGAAGCAGCGCCTGCCTAAACAAGTATGGAATGCAAGCAATGCTGGTTCTAGTTCCAGCCAGCCTCTTCATTTTGGCTCTCACCCAGGCCCTGCCCAAGGAAAGCCACTCACACACTAGTTAAAACTAAGTCAGATTTTTTATTATTTCCATAGACCACATCATTTAATAATAAAAAAAATAAAAATAAAAATTGAACAAAAGAAAAAGGTGGATATAAAGTGGAACCGGTGGGCAGGAGGCAAGGGCTGCAGGACATAAGAGACTGGGAACTGCAGGGGCCCTGGGACTCAGGAGATGCTGATTCAGCTCATAGGTGACCCAGTCCTGGCCCCAACTGTTCCCAAGAGGGTGTGAGTATCCAAAGACGGTGGTGAGCAGGATGGAGGAAAAATGAAAGAGGTTTGGGGCTCCTGGCTGTTCCTCACCTCTGGACCAACCACATTCCTCCCTAACCTAGCTCTTCCCTCTCAGACTTCATGGGAAATGAGAGGTGAGGGCTAAATCCCAAGAGATAGGTTATGGAGGGTAAGGGGGGAAAGATGGCCACTGCTCATTTGGTATGTGGGGACAAGTAGCAGCCTTACTGGGCAAATGGTGTGAAAGACCCCTGGTTCCAGGGTGGTAGAGATTGTACCTATCCCTCTGTGGCCTTGAACTGCCCTCCTCCCCCGGGGCAGGGCGGCTGATGCCTGCAGCTCTCCCCAGTGTCTGCTTGGCTAGCGGCGCCCACCCCGGTCCCGCACAGGTGTGCTCCGACTCCGGCTCCTGCTGTGGCGCTTGGTGTCTCTGCGGTCCCTCTCCCTGCCTCGTTCCCGGTCCCTTTCCCTATCTCGGTCTCGATCACCCCTGTCCCGCTCTCGTTCCCTCTCTCTCTCCCGGTCCCTCTCCCGGCTGTGCTCTCGACGCTTCTCCCGCTCCAGCTGTCGGTTCCGCTCCCGCTCTGCTTCCTTCTCCCGCTCCTTTTGCTCTTCTTCTTCTTGCTCCTTTCGCCGCTTCTCCCGCTCCTTGGCCCGTTCAGCCCGCTCTGCCTCCTTCTGAACAATCTGCAGCAGGCAGGAAAAGCAGAGAATAGGCGTCTCAGCCCAGCTCACGAGTCCTGCTTTGTCTATCCGCATCTGCACCTGGCACTCCTAGCTCAGGGTCACTGTCAGCTTTGTTGCTAAGCAGGAAGTGTGTTGAGTGTGAGTGTGTG